TGCGAGTGTTATGATTTAGATAGTTTATATAGTACATGTGTCATATATATATTTATTTTAGAAGCAATATTTTATGGCGACTTTGTTTACATAACTGGTTGCAAACCATACGTTGTGTAGTTAATTTTTTTGAATGAGCAGTTGTTTACAATAGTGAATTATTGGATCATGTTTCTAGAAATTTTTGAGTTTCTCATTGGTTTAGGTTTAGTTGAGTATTATTGCATCAGAATATCTACTAATGCGTGGAATGTTCTAGACTTCTGTCGAGGTGTAAATATGCATCGTGAAATCATTATTGAGTTCTAGTTCTAGACTGCTTGATCGTGAGTTTAGTGATAAAAAATGTATAGTGGTGATTTTTAAAGTGAAATTATAGCAGACCGTATTGTAATAACAGAGTAGAGAATAATAATTATTTTTGTCTATTGTGTTCTTTGTGGGACTTTGAAGAAAAATAAATTTGTTTAAAGCTCTGGATACAAGTGTGGTCACCAAGAGTGTAACGAACATTTGTCTATATGTTTGATTTGTTTCTGGCATGTTATTTCAAAACAAGTGGACGGTCTTGTTGTTTGTTTATAGTTGGCATTTATCGCCAACAAGTCACACACACTGTAAAGAATCTGGCCTTACAAAACTTGACACTCAGATTTAAATGCTTCCAGTGGTACAGCGGTATGTCTGTGGACTTATAACGCTAGAAACTTGGTTTCGATACCCGATACTCGTGGTTGGGAGATCACAGATAGCCCATTGTGTAGCTTTATGCTTAACTTCAAACAAACAAATAGCCCATTGTGTAGCTTTATGCTTAACTTCAAACAAACAAACAAACAGATTTAAACGATAACAATATAACCGAATGTACGATGAAACGTGTGGCAGACATGCGTTTAATATTATTGTTAAGATAAAATATCATAAAGAAAGGATAAAATATGTGCATAAACAACTGCATCTTTAACCACAAAGTATAAGTAAAATTTAAACAGAAATTATTATAGTAATGACAATGACAACAGGGACAAGTTGACGTTATTATTTAGTGTTGGGTGATCGTTGAAAATGGAAAGGCTTTCTCCAATTAAGAGTTTGTAATCTGTTATAGAGGAGCCGAGAATTAGTGTTCAAGAATGGTTGGGTGATTTTTGTTTTCATTATTTAATAGGATACAAGTTCCACGTGGATTACATAAGTTCTATCTGTTTCTAACTGATATTTTATTGTGTTCATGTGCAGGGCTGAATTAAGTAGTGGGGGAAAGAAAGAAAGGAGAGGAAAAATGGGTGCAATTATTTCTGACTTCCCGGTTCGAAGTGGCCTGCTTTCCTTACTAAGTTTTGTGTATTTGTTGTTAAGCGCAAAGCTACTAAATGGGCTGTCTATGCTGTGTCTACTGCTGGTCTCGAAACACAATTTTTAGCTTAATAAGCCCTCAGACTTACCGTTCAGCCACTGTGGTTCCCGAATAAGAAAATATCATAAAAAGTATCTTAAACCAAGTGTCCCATTGAAAAAACACGTACTTGCAGCTGTAGCATTTTAGTCGTTCATATAAATCTATAACTTTCATTAACGTGTTCTTACAGCTCGTTCTTTCATAAATATTTGCTTAGCCATTTAACAAAAAAAATTCATTGTCATTACTTTATATTTATTATAAAAATTCATTGTCGTTATTTTATCTTTATTACAAGTATTAGTGCTTGTGCTTATGTACGTTGAAATTGTAATTGATAAATTGTATTGAACTGTATTTGTCTTATTTATGAAATTCAGTTCTGAAGGCCCACTACAAAATTTATCCCGATCCTCCCAAATCTTTAATCCAATTCTGCTAATGTACGCCTATTTGTAGGTCACGTGCAGCTTTAAAGATACGACAGGTGAATTTATATAATATATTCATAAGAACACATAGATATTGGTAGAGTGTCTGGTTTTGAATTCTAAATGCTGACTTAAATATTAAACTTATCTTAATTAGCGTGTAATATATCTGAATTTTTTATTTATTTATTTTTTGAATTCATGATTTCGATCTAAAATTTTATTTGCCTATGAAAGGAATGATAAAACTACTGTATGTTTTACAGAATATTAAGAATAATTTTACAAAATGATAAGCCTTCAGTGGGCTTTAATCTAATCGTTCTGTTAATTGCCTCTAGGGTTGAGCGTCAAGGACACAAGTGGTACGATGTTCGTATGAATTTTCCCTGTTGATCATATATTCTTGCCAAATCGTCTGACAACCTGTGTGCTGTGACCTTGAGAAACCTGTCTTTGTGGCAAGCTGTAATATATAGAAACAATTGATGATAATGTTTGTCTGTTTTTTTTTTTTTAGTTTTGTTTGATTATATAAATGTGAAAACATTAAACTAAAATTTAACATAAGTTTTGATATAATATAGCAATGTTTGCCATTTGTTTCCTTATCAGTTTTATTATTATAAGATATTTTATTAAGAAGGTACTGTTGCGTCAGCGAGTCACGTGACTACTATGACGCAACGTTTCTAGAACTATCATGTACTTTGTC